TCAGCTTGTCAATTTCTACAAAGTTGGCTGCAATTTTTATTTGGCCTGCAGTGAATCTACAGACCACTTTGGGGAAATTTTACACATATTAACAGTATTGAATCTTCAATATCTTCTTCTTATTTTAAATTTTCCCCTAGATTTATATTTAAATCTTGTGAGAAAGCTGAATGCTGGGAAGTGTGGGAAAGCATACCTCCTTCTCCTGTTTGGTTAAAGGGAACAGAAGATGAACAGTTTGGCAGGCCGTGTTTCTGAAACTCTAGGCTGTAGGTCAAAGGTTCTTTTGCTTAATATGATGTTGCACAATGGCATTTTTAAAGAAGAATTCCTAAGGTATTAGCATAGAAACTAGTGTTCTAAGAAGTGGCATACATTTTTATCTTGGCGATTTCTTGTCTTCTGTTCAATAATTTCTAATTTTAGGAAGACTAAGACCTCTTTGAAACTACCAAAAGTGTTTTAAAATTTTTAGGAATAAAAAGTTTATGTAGATGATTCATTTTGTTTGTTTTCTTTCTTTCTTTCTCTCATGTTATAAAAACTTTTTTTTTTTTTTTTAATTTCCTGATGATTTTGCAGAAGTGGAAGAGAAAGTTATGGGGCTGACAAGGTGTAGGTAGTGATACGTCATAATCATCAAATCCCATTCAGTTGCAAATTCCTTAAAGGTGGCGCCTGCCATTCTTCCTAATTTATCCCCCAGTGCCTGGCGTTTATTATTTAGAGGTTCAATACATAGCATTTGAATAAATAAATCAATTTTATTTTCTCTTAGGCTTTAGGCACTAACTTACATTCTTTTCCTTCTAAAGTGGAATTATCACTTGACTATTGCTATATAGTAACAGAAGAATATCTGTACTCTTATGTCCTCTGCCCAAAAATCAATTTTCAAAATAATCATGGGGAATGAAAAAATATAAAAACATTAGTTAAAGGCTTCATGGAGAATGTGTTTCAGAGAGAAAGTTGTCCAACTGTGAGGAAGTCCTTGCCTCTAGTTAGGCGCAAGTGGAGGATACAGTTCAATCCTTGTAAATTGGACGCAGGACCGCAGTGGCCAGGGCTCTTGCTGAGGAGTAGAAAGGGATGATTTGGAATGTGTTACATTGCTTTAGATGTGTGGATGTTTGGGGTGTGTTCATCAGTGGGATTATTAGTTTATAAAAACCCACTTTTCCTATTACTCCCAAATCTTCTCCATACACGAGAAATTGAGACATCAACATTCTTCTTGGGGAGTGCATCAGTGTAGTGAGTCTTTTCAATACCTTCTCCTCAGGAGGTCTCTGTATTTCAATTTTGTTTTTGTATCCACCAGGCCACCCTTTATTGGGCTTCTCATCATAAATTTTTAGGCCTCAGCACCACAATTGATTTTTTTGAGGACTAAAGAGTATATCTAAGCCTGGAAAGATTTTTAACAAAAATTGGCTTGAAACAAGACCTGACTTCTAGGTAGTCTAGAGCTGAGTTCCCTGATCCAAGCCACCATATAGTGACAGACCACAGAGCACTTTGGTATTTACTGTTCAAAGGGAAAATAGGTTGTTTGTCTTTTTGGTGTTGCGGTGTTAAAGTTTTCGTCCTTTGTCAGGTATGTCATAGGCAAATATTTTCTCCCAATCTGTAGGATCTCATTCTAACCTTTGGTAAAGTCTTTTCATGCACATAAGAATTTCATTTTTAAAAGGTCCCAGTCATCCAGCTTCTCTTCTACTTCCTGTGCATTCTGGGTTATGTTTGATAGTCTGTTTATCCCATAAATTAGGGCTCCTAGATTTACCCCTATTTTATCTTTGGTGAATTTTATAGTTTTGGGTTTTACATTTAAGTCTTTGATCCAGGTTGAGTTTGTTTTTGTGTATGGGGTGAGGTATGGGTCTTGTTTCATTTTTCTGCAAGTAGATATTCAGTTTTGCCAGCACCATTTGTTAAAGAGGTTGTCTCTTCCCCATTTAATGGGTTTTGGGCCTTTGTCAAAGATCAGGTGTCCATAGCTGGATGGGTCTATTTCTGGACTTTTGAATCTGTTCCATTGGTCTATCTGTCTATCATTGTACCAGTACCACACTGTTTTGACTACTGTGGCTGTATAGTAGGTTTTAAGATCCAGGAGTGTGAGACCTCCCACTTTGTTCTTCTTTTTGAGAAGTGCTCTGCTTATCTGAGGTCTCTTTCCTTTCCAAATGAAGTTACTAATTAGTTTTTCCATGTCCTTAAAAAAAATTGTTGGTATCTGTATCGGGATTGCATTAAATGTGTAGATTGCTTTCGGTAGTATTGACATTTTCACAATATTCAGTCTACCTATCCATGAACAAGGCAGGTTCTTCCATTTATGTAGTGCCCTTGTTATCTCTTGTAGTAGTGTTTTATAGTTTTCTTTGTATAGGTCTTTTGTGTCTCTGGTAAGGTTTATTCCTAGATATTTTATCTTTTTAGTAGTTATTGTAAATGGTATTGTTTCCCCTATTTCTTTATCAGAGGTCTCTTTGTTGGTGTAGAGGAATCAACTGATTTTTGTGTGTTGACCTTGTATCCTGCCACCTTGCTGAACCTCTCTATTACTTCTAGTAGTTCCAGTAGGTTTTTTTTGTTTTTGTTTTTTTGTTGAATCTCATGAGTTTTCTATGTACAGGATCATATCATCTGCAAATAGAGATAGTTTTACTTCCTCTTTGCCAATTTTATGCCTTTTATTTCTCTTTCTCGTCTTATTGCCCTGGTAAGGACTTCCAATACAATGTTAAATGGAAGTGGTAATAGAGGACATGCGTGTCTGGTTCTCGTTCATAAGGGGAATGCCTTGAGTCTTTCTCCATTAATAATGATGTTGGCCATTGGCTTTGCATATATGCCTTTTATTATGTTGACGAATTTCCCTGCTATCCCTGTTTTGCTGAGAGTTCTGAACAGGAATGGATGTTGGATTTTATCAAATGCCTTTTTCTGAATCGAGTCATATAATCATATGGTTCTTTTCTTTTGTTTTATTTATGTGATGGATTACATTGATTGTTTTTCTGATATTGAACCATCCTTGCATACCAGGTATGAATCCCACTTGGGATTATTTTTTTGATATGTTGTTGGATTCTCTTGCCTCTATGTTCATGAGGTATATTGGTCTGTAGTTTTCCTTTTTAGTGGTATCTTTCCCTGGTTTTGGGAAATGAAATTAGTAATTCAGCCCAATTCAAAAATGGGCAAAAGCCTTGAACAGATACTTCACTAAAGACAATATGCTGGCAGCCAACAAACACATGAGGAATTGCTGACGATCATTAATCATTAGAGAGATGCAAATCAAAACAAATATGAGATATCATCTCATTCCAGCAATAATAGCAAAGATCAACAGGATAGAAAATAACAAATGCTGGCGAGGTTGTGGAGAGATTTAAAGTCTTGTACACTGCTGGTGAGATTGTAAAATGGTACAACCATTGTGGCATATGGTATGGCATTTCCTTAAAAAACTGAAAATAGAAATACTATTTGACCCAGCAATTCCATTACTAAGAATATATCCTAAAGAGGTGAGAGGCAGCACACGAACAGACATATGCACACCTATGTTCATCACAGCACAATTCACTATAGCAAAGAGATGGAAACAACCTAAATGCCCACCAATGGATTAATGAGTAACCAAATTATGGTACATTCACACAATGAATACTATGCTACATTAAAGAACAATGAGGGATATGCAAATCACCTAACAATGTAGATGAGCCTGGAGTACATTATGCTGAGTGAAATAAGTCAATTGCAGAAGGACAAATACTGTATGAGCCCATTACTGTAAAAAGACAAAGAAGAGTTTGCTTAAGAAAGGGAATTCACTTTGTAGGTTACCGGGATGGGGAGGAAGGGGAGGGATTAATTCCAGGCTAGTTGGGACCCACACGCTGATGTGGGTAAGGAGAGGAATGTATAGAAAGAGTCTGTGACCACCATAATAACATTAGGATAAGGGAAGACACCGAATTGTGCACATAGGAGATAGACGACAGATGCTGATACCAACCACTATATCCATTATACCACATTACCATTAACACCAAACACTGGGCTACAGGTAAACACATAGACACCTGAGAAGGTCAGATGGGGGTCAGTGAAGAGGATTATACTCTAGACCAAGGATAGATTCAGCAGAAGCTAATCTTGCACAGATACCAGTGATACAAAATACCTGCAATCCCTATAGAAACAACAGAAGGCAGATATAGAGTAATCCCTCACAGACACCCAGACACTGTGGGAAAGACATCCAATGGATCTACCAACTCAGGACCATAGTATTGGGGGACACCAGACTCAATTGGCACAACAAAATACATAAAAGTCTTGTTCCTCATCCTACACTGATGAGTAGCAACTGGGGTCTTAAAAGCTCTCAAGTGGCCATCTAAGATGCAGCTAATGGTCTTCTATCATCAGAAGTGAAGAAGAGCAAAGGAAAAAAAAAAAAAAAAAGGCATTTGGAAGCAATCAGCCCTAGGACACGATGGCCCTCGAGACCAGAAAAACTAGATGGTGCCTGGCTACAAATGCCAACCACTCAGGAAAGGATCAAATCTGGAGATCCTAGATAGAGTGGGAGGAAAAATGTGAAACAAAATCCAAAAACTCAATAATGACCAGAATTACTGTTTGGATGGAGTCCGGTGAGACCCCCAATACTATGGCCCTGGGTTACATTCTGGGCCTGGAATAAAACTCACTCTCAGGGGCTGGCTCTCAGTCCTATGGTAAACAAGATGTACACATAGACCACTCAACCCAGGATGACACACACACACACACACACACACAAGGGAAAATGGGAAGAACTTTAAACTGTGTCTCTGCTGGATGTAATAACCATCTTTGGATATAAATACCTAATAAGACGAAGTTGAAATACTATTTAAATAATGGTAGAATCTGGATGAGCTACTATTTAGTTATCTCTGAGGAATATATTAATATTTTTTCCCTTACAGATCATCATGCTGAATTCTGCTTCTGATCTTCATGGCTACATTGATAAAAGCCAGCTCACACCAGAGTTAGGGGGAACTTTGGAATATCGCCATAATCAATGGATAAATCATCGAACTGTGAGTATTGACTTGTGTTCCCTTTTCAGAGTCTCTCTTGGTTTTCCAGAGGATAGGGGACTAAAGGATGAACTGTTGGGAGCACACCTCCCATGACTACCTAACTTTGGGAATTTTGTGTTTTCTAAGCCACAAGCTGAGAATGAAATATGGTGAAAGGGTTAATTAAGGCTTGAGGTTTCTCCTACTGACTACCCTCATCTCACTGCATACTGGTGTGAGTACACCTGGGAAGTTTTAAAAAATATCAGTACCCTGATATATCTCAGACAAATTGATTTACTTGATCTGGGACAGGTCCCAGACATTATCATTCCACAAAACTCCCAAGGTGATTCTAATGTACAGACAATATTGAGATTCACACCAAAGAATATAGATTTTGAAATGAGACCAAGCTTCATTTAAATATCATCACTATTAGCTATTGTCTGACCTTGGATGAGTTACTAGAGCTCTTTGAACTTGTTTCCTCCTTTGTTGACCCAGTGGTTCTCAGCTTGGGATAATTTTGCCTACCAAAGGATGTTTGTCAATGTCTGTACCCTTTTTTTGTAGTCATAACCTGGGCAGGGAGTGGAAGAACAAGGGAGCATCACATCTAGTGGGTAGAGGCCAGGGATGCTGCTAGACATCCAACAATGCACAGGACAACCCCCTACAATAAAGAGTGACCGGAGCCAAAATGTCAGAAGTGCTAATATTGAGAAACCCTAGCCTAACACAAGCCACCTGAAAGCTTGATGTAAAGAATAAATAAGTGAAATAATACCTGTGAAAGCACCTGATATGTAATATTTTTCTTGTTTTCATGTTTACTTATATTGATGGTTAGTTTGATAAACTAGAAGGCTCAGTAATATTATTGAGGAAAAAGTAAGATTGAAACTGACCAAATAATAAAATTCTCATTCCTTTTTCCCCTGCTACCCTTGCAAAGATTAGGTTTTTAAGCAAAATCAGAAGCTTCCATCACCACTCTGATCACAGTGTCATCTCTGTCTCTTTCTCTGTATCGGGTCAGTTGTGATATATTGGCATTTACCCATGAACACTTGCATGATATTTATTTAATTATGTATATGTCATCCTGTTTTGGATTTAAAGAAACTGTTGCCTAATCCAAAGTCATGAAGATTTATACCTATGTTTTCTTCTAATTGTTTTATAGTTTCAGCTCTTACATCTAGGCCTTTGATGCATTTTGAGTTAATTTTGTATGTGGTGTAACGTAAAGGTCTAGCTTTACTCTTCTGCATGTGTATATCCAGTTGTCCCAGAATCATTTATTGAAGAAACTGTACTTTCCCTCATTGAATTGTAATGACACCCTTCTTGAAAATCAATTGAGCATTAATATGAGAGTGTATTTCTGGACTCTCAATTCTATTTCATTGGTTCTGTGTGTCTATCCTTATGCCAGTACCACACTGTCTTAATTACTGTAGCTTTGTAGTAAGTTTTGGAACCAGGAACTGTGAGTCCTCTAGATTTGTTATTTTTTAGGATTGTTTTCTCTCTTTTGGGTCCCTTGCATTTCCACAGACATTATAAGGTTATTTTTGCAAAGAAGCCAGCTGGAATCTTGATCGGGGTTGTGTTGAACCTGTAGATCAATCTGGGGAATATTGCCATCTACATTAAGATTAATCAATTCTGATCCCTGAACATGGAAATACTTTCTGTTTATAGTCTCCTTTAGTTTCTTTCAATAATATTTTGGGTTTTTTTTTTTTTTTTTTTTTAGTGTATAAGTCTTGCATTAATTTTGTTATAAATTTTCCCAAATATTTTTAATGCTACCTTAATGGAATTACTTTTTAAATTTCAATTTTGGATTGTTTGCAAGTATATAGAAATACATTTGTGTTTTGTATATCGATCTTGTATCCTGCGGCCTTGCTGAACATACTAATTTTTTAGGTCTAATTTTGTGCACATGCATGTGTGTGTAATCCCACTGGGTTTCAAGGTGGTAAATCTTTATGGAAGTAGAATGCCCCATCTTCCTTCTGGTGTAAGCCTTAGGATTTGCTATATGCCACTTGCAAATAGAATTATTTTTTGCTTCTTTTCAACCAGGATACCCTTTATTTCATTTCTTTTCTCATTGGTCTAGAATCTCGAGTAAAATATTATATATTATTGGAGAGAATAGATATCCTTGTCATAGGGGAAAATGTTCAGCTTTTCATTATTAAGTATGATGCTAGCTATGGGATTTTTTTAGATACCCTTTATCAAGTTGAAGGACTTCCTTTTTATTCCTAGTTTGTTGAAAGTTTCTAACCTGAAAGGGTGTTGATTTTTGCCAAATGCTTTTTCTCCCCATATTTAGATGATCTTTTTTTTTTTTTTTTTTT